AAAGGCTATGAGCCTTTTCATTCTTTCTCCCCCATATTTTAAATACTATGTTATTAAACTATTTATCTTACATTATGATCTTTTGGTCTAATGGAAGAATACGCAATTAGGTTCATATTTTAACTTACAATCAGAAATACGAATTGATTTGCAAACTATTTATATATTTGCCAAAATTGACATTCAAAAATATATTCCCTCGCATATTTAAATGCCTTAAAATTGTTTTAACTATACTCTTTAAAATGAATCTAGGAAAATAATTTCCCGGAAAAAAATCCTCGGAAAAAAAATTCCCCGGAAGATTACTCCTCGGAAAAAAATCTCCAGGAAAATAATTCCATGGAAAAAAATTCCCATAGAAAATAATTCCCCGAAAAAAATTCCCCATTTTTTAAATCCTATAAAATATTAAATTATTTTTATAAAATTAACAATATAGGAAAAAATATCCCCGGAAAAAAAATCCCTAAAATATTTTTTGAGAAAATGGTCAAAAATTTCTTTAAAATTTTTCCAAATAAAAATTTTCAAAATAAAATAGCAGTGACCCCTACACTTTTTGAGGGATAGAAGCAGAATACCCCCCTAAAGTACCCCCCCCCCCCCCCCCCCCATTGTAAATTATTTTTTGACACCAATAAATTTCAAAAATAATTTTTATTGCATCAATATTTATTATAATATAAATATAATGTAAAAAATATATGCTTTAAAAATATTATTTTTAAATTAAAAATTTAGATAAATTAGGGGAAAAGAAAGCAAAAGAATTTATAATTTTATCAATATTTAATTGTTTAAATAAATTATTTTCCATTGATAAAATGGTTAAATTATTAGGATCTTTCATGACACTACGAAGTCTTGTTTTAATTAGTTTAATTTTACTCATGACCCTTTCGGCAGTACATGATGTAGTAGGAATAGTTAATAAATATTTATATAAATTGTTAAATTTGGGAAAGCAGAAAAATTTATAAGCAGATGATAAGGTAAAATAAATGAATAGTTTCTCCAGTCTGAATCATTCATCTCAGAATTATTATCATCATCAGAAGAAGCTAAATAATGTATTAGTAAAAATATATAAATTTACAATTCTCAGAATCTGACAAATCTTCTTTAACCTCTAGGTCACGAGTAATAATTACGTCCCCCGTTTTAGCCATTTTATAAATATTTCTAAACATCAACATTTCCTCAAAAACTTGACTTGTATTTAATTGATAAAATTCACAGATATCCTTGATATCATCTTTAACAATTGCCTTTTCCGCCATTCCCTTTGGGGTAAAAAATGATGTTTGACTCAAAAATTTTATCGATTCATCGTTAAATCTTTCACTAAACTGCATAATAATTAAATCAAGTGCAGCATAAAACACACTGATTTTGAAGCTAAAATAAAATATTATATTTAATGATGAAAGTATATATATATATCTCCTTTTTGGATTAAAATGTTTGAAGTCTTGAACTTTCAAAATCAAAAGGTAAATTTCTCTTCTTCATAAAATCTTGGGCCTTTGAAAAGACATCCAAAAATTCAGTGTTATTATCTATTTTAGGATTATAAAATAATAAAAGATAATAATTTAAATTATACTTCTCATATTAATCAGGCAATCTTTTACCAATTGAATTTGATTTATTGCAAACCCTATATCCTTCGAAATGGTTTGCAATTTTGTACAAGCCAAGCTTGTTATCAACAATATTTTATCCAAAACACATAGTGATAAAATTAAATAAAATTTTTCTATTTTATAGACTATAGCACTAGCCATAGTGGAAGTGGCAGGATCTTCAGAATCCTTTAAATTTGCCAAAGCTGCCCTCAAAGCATCATAAAGTAGGAAAAAAATTACAATCGCCTTATATGATGTTAGCCAGCTTCTATAAATATAAAATAAACATTATATATCGAAACAATTAAGATAATATTACCGAGTGGTATTCTTGATTCGTAAAAATCTATGTGATTTTGTCAGTAAATCACTCTGACATGTTTTGAGTACTTCATATCTTTTAACACCATTAAAATATACGTAAATTTCGTCTAATATTCCCAAGACATTTCGCAGCTCTTTTACTGATTGACATTATTGAACAACTATTAAATTTAATCGATGACAATAGCACCAAATAAAAGCTGCCTTATCAAAGCCTGCATTCCATTAATTCTTCCACTCATGTTTGAGGCGCCATCATAGCTTTGCCCCACTAGGAATTCGAGGGGTAGATTCATGGAGCCAAGCTTGGATATTATATTCTTTTTAATATCGAGGCCAGTTGTATTTCCCGTACAATAAATGTCTATCAGCCTTTCAACGGGCTTAGGTGTCTCGCTATTTTCAACATATCTCACTATCAAAGCTATTGCTTCTGATTTCGATACATCATATGTGCCATCAACTATAATTGAATAGCACCTGTTGAATTCAATCTCCTTTTTAATTTTTTTTATAACCATATTTTTCATGGTTTCAATAAGAATATTTATGTTATTATATGATAACAGATTTGAATATAATTTAGATTTTAATCCCTTAATTTTTTTCTCACTTCTTCTTTCTTCATTATCTTGTATATACATTTTAAGAACAGGCTCAAATAAGTTTAATAAGGCTCATCATATTGCCATCTTGTTGCCTGTTCCCCCAGAAGGCTTGATTGCGAGATAAGCATTTATATTTTTTTGGTTAATATTTTTTGGCATATTTTGACAATGATCTAAAAATTATAAATGATTATATATAAGATTTAATATTTAAATTTTTACTATTCCCTTTGATAAAATTTTAATTTTGCGCCAAATCTTGAAAGTGGAAAAATAATTTTATGATAAGAAATAACGGATAACAAACTAATTTGCTAAACATCGACCATAAAAATTTTTAAAAAAATAAAATAAAAAAATTTTTTTTAAAAAAATTTTAAAAATTTAAAAAAAAAAAAAAAAAAATAAGTACCCCCATAGAAATTTATAGAAGCAGTTGCTTCGGACCCCCCCCCCCCCCCGTTGTAGGGGTCACTGTAAAATAGTACTTGTGATTAATATTAAACCTAATAAAAACTTAAATTATTAATTAATACTAATAAATATAATGTAATGTTATGGACTTATCCCGAACCCAGGTTTAGTGAAAATTAAATAAAGCAATATTTATAAAATAAACGAATTGGATACCTAGTCTCTCTGATATTATGCAAAATATTATGGCCAGCTCAGATTTTTTATTTTGGCCCGGATTTAAAAATTACCTAATCTCTGTAATATTAAGCTAAATATTATTATAAGTTAAGTAATGATAATGGCCAGCTCAGATTTTTTATTTTGGCCCGGATTTATGAATTTAAAAATTACCTAATCTCTGTAATATTAAGCTAAATATTATTATAAGTTAAGTAATGATAATGGCCAGCTCTGATTTTTTATTTTGGCCCGGCATAAATTCATATCATTTTTTGACCCGGATCTGCTCTGCACTATTTAATTAAATAGAAATGTTTTATGTCAAATTCCTTCGAGGATTTGACGTTTTAAATAATAAAACGAAAGTTAAATAAATCTAGTTCACCTTTACACATTTTCATCAACTTTTAGATATTTATTGAAAATCAAATTTTTACTTTTAAAAAAAAATTATTTTCACACAAATTTTAATCATTTTTTTTAGAAATATATTAAAAATTTAAATATCAGTTGGAGATAAGAGGCTTTTCACAATTTACTAACTCTTAAATAGCGCCCTTTTTTGTTTTTATAAGGATAAGCTATTAAATAATATAATTATGAATTCTGTGGCGAAATAGAAAATTTGCTCCCCTCTATTTGATAAAAATTATTTTACTGAAGTATTTACCTACTTTAAGAATTTAACTGACTGAATACAAAATCAATATAAAACTTGCAAAATTATATTTTTTACTGCCCAATTTTAATTAAATACTGCCAAAAGTAATAAAAAATTCTGACCATTTTAATCAAAATACATCCAGAGGTGATTATCATCAGTGAGTATTATATTTTTCGGATCTAACAATTATTATTTTGCTTATGAATTTTTTTTTAAATTTACAGAAAAGAAATAATTATAATTTTATTAAATGATAAATGGAATAATAAATTATATTATTCAAATGAAACAATTTTAGAACGTATATGTTCTCCAATTGAAGAGAGAAAATTAAGCAAGCCTTTCTCTCTTCTAAAAAAATCAATACATAAATTTTTTTTAAATATTTTGTTTCGTTGCATAACGACGATTTTTTTGGGAGTGTATGTCCCAATACTCCATTGGCCGATTTTGCCCACGCCGACGGCTATTTCCATCCTCATTTTTTCGATTAGTTCCCATATCTTAAGTTTTTTATGGCCTATAATATGCTGAAATCGATTATTCCATCCTTCACATACATTGTTTGTTCGATTTTCCCCATCAATCGTAACATTAATTTTTTTCAGCGTTTTGTAAAGTTCTTGAGGTGTAAGCTATTGGAAATTCGTTATATCATATTTTTTCATGAGTACAGCTCCAAATTTTTAGTTAGATGCTCCTGTTTCTATATTAACTCAAGGTCCATTTTATATAACTGCATAGTATTTTGTTCTGTTACTATTCCGAATAACATGAAAGCGATTACAAAAATAGCACGGTATTTTATTTTGGAATGGCAAATTAATCATTCCGTACTGAGTTTTACATATATTGTATACGGGACTAGAGAACTGCAAAGTAATTTTTTCGCAACCCGAGCCCGACCCGAGCCCGAATTTAAAATTTTTTTGTCCGAGCCCGACCCGAGCACACATTTTTTAGTCCAACCCGACCCGAGCCCGACCCCAATAAAATTTTGCAATTTAAGTTTTAATATTATAATAACCAAAAAAAATTTATGTGTATTTATTCAGTTCAGCCACCTTAAATAAAAGTTTATTTGACGGCCATAATCTATTCAAGATATATATTAAGTTGCATTTTATTAAATTTGTAAAAAATATTATAAAACGATTAATATACAAGCGAATTTAAAAATTATAACGATTATATAATACAATAAGCATCATTTATGCGAATATAGATATGATATAAAAGTTAATAAATATATAAAAAATATAATGAACATATTATATTATATTGACCTCATCAATATCATTATCAAAATTATCACAAAGTGAATAATTATGATATATAAATAAAGAGGCGTCCAGTTTATCTGGCTTTAAACGAGTCCTTCTCTCCTCAAAGGCCCTACCAGCAGCTGCAAACGCCCTTTCACTGCTAGCCGACGAAGCAGGGATAGCCAGGAATTTAAGAGCTAAAATACTTAAATTTGGAAACTCATAATGGTTTGTTTTCCACCATTTTAAAATATTATCGTCATCAATACATAATTTCGGATCTAGGTATTTTTTTAGCTCGTCAACTTCGGCGCTAGCATCAGAATACGCATTGTCAGCCTCCCATAGAGAGAAGTCCAAAAACGTATCTACCACCTCTGTAGTTTCTTAAGAAAAAAATATTCATTAATAATATTAAGATATATATTTACTTTATTATTTTTTAATAAATAATTTTATTATTAATTTAATAAACCTTTATTTACTACTCTATCGGTTGAGCACGAGTTAGATGGTGAGTTGTTTAAAGACTTTTGCTCAATCACATCTCTGTTGATTTTCTCTGCATTAATCAACGTGTTGATATGTTGACACAAATCTTTATAATGTTCCCGGGATAACATTTTCATATCCCGAAATTTTGGGCACAAAAACGTCGAAATTTGGTGGAATAAATCTATTTTAAATTTATCCACCAATATTTCCCGGCATCTTAATGAAAGCTGGTTTAGCTGATAGTTTAAGCTAGGATTAGCTAAAAAAACTCAATATTTTATGATAACATAAAATAACTTTGTAAATAGCAGGTTTTAAATCACTCTCAAGTTCATCACTCGCAATTTTAAAAGGCGTCAGAAACTTGATCAGATCCTTCATCATTTCAAAATGAATATTTTCAAGTCTAATCGACTCTCCTCTGGAATTGAGGATTTCCAATATGTCATTAAATTGATTAAAGATCGATTCAATCATATTCTACCTACTATTCCACGTTTCAACACACATGTGGAGAGTTTTATCGAGGCGATTAACTAATCTAAAATGTAATGATATATTTTAATAAAAAGTTAATTTAACATACCCACTCTGTTTCATATACGTTACTAAACTTTTACAGTCATTAAAACATTGATTTATCTCCGAACAAGATTCAATATTTTTGTTATCAAAAGTATTTCTCAATACTGTATTTAATAGATGAGAAGCACAATTTAAACGCTTATGATTTTCAAAAGCTTTAATCATATTAGCTCCTTGGTCGGTAATAATTGGAATTTCCGATAAATAGGCCCTGCTGTATCCTGATACAAAGAATACATGGATTTTTATAAATATTTTTAATGAAATCAATACCTAACAAGGTGAAATTTCTAATAATTTCCTTTTTGATATTATCCCCTGTCTTTTTTTCCTCTTCAAATTTGCATGTAAACAATACAATTTTATTTAGTTTCCAGGAATCATTTATAAAATGAATTGTTAGAGTTACATATGATATTTTTTTATAATCATCAGTCCAAAGGTCTGTGGTGGCTATAAAAAATTATTAATAATTTAACCATATTTTCATAAATTTGTTACCAGCACATCGACCCTTTTTCATATATAAGTTTAATATAGGAAATAATTTATTGCGGATACCATCAGCAGTATCTACTAAATTTCTAGAAATTGTCGTAGGATTTGGAATGATGCTTTTAACATCAATATTTCCATATATTGAACCAATTTTGGCAAAATATTGGCAGCAATCAACAAAGCCTTCCCCATGAATTGTATCAAATGATCTCAAATCACGTCCACAAAACATAGTAAGCACCTTTGTTCACTCTTTTTTCAATTTTGTACAACTTTTGAGTTTTTTCGGATCAGTACCAAAAAGACTATCAATTGTCTTTTTACTCTCTGCTGTTGTACTTGTATTTGTATATACACATTTGTGTCTTTTAAGTTGATTTGTGCCTAAAATAATTTAATAAGATCATATTTTATGTATAAATATCTAACCTGTTGTTATTGAATTATATACATAAATAAATTTGCATATAATACAAATGACAATTAAGCTTTTCTTTATTTTCATCATATATAAATGAAAATTTCTTCCATACATCGGATTTTCCATTAAGATTCTCCCTTACTTCATACTCTTTTGTCTTAATCTTTTCACCAATTCTTTTTAATTTTGCATCCATTGCGATAATTTTTTTAATATGGCTGTGTCTAAAATCTAAAAAAAATATTTAAAATGACTTTAATCAATTAGATTGAAATAAACAGAGTTGGGCAGTACTGCGAATACTTGTATCTAAGATACATGATACAAGATCCCTTTATATCTTGTACTCAGTATATTTTGACATTTTTAATAAGATACTAATATCTGTATCTAAGATCCTTAATTCTGAAAAGAATCTTGTATCTTTTTCATTTTCTTGACAAAAGATACAGGTACAGATTCTTTTTAATATTCATGTTTTAAATTTTACATATCACAGTATACATCTTATTTTCTTTGAGAATCTTGTATTAATTTCCTAATTTTTTTCTGCCATATTTTAAAATATTGACAACCAAAATTAGCTGGAAAATTTACAACTCATATTAAGGTAGATAGATAAAAAAATAATAATACCAAAACGAAATAAGTAAAGATTATATTTTATATATAAATGTAACTTAGAATATCATTACCAATTTTATATAATATTTTTTAATTTCTAGGATGATTAACATTTATGGTAGTGAAATTTAAATTATAGAAATAAGTTCCCCTGAATCAAATCCCAATCTTAAATTTTATATGGAAATTTTTTAAAACAAATGTTAAAAAAGACAATGTATAAGCTAGATAAATAATGAATAAAACTTATCTTTAGTACATAAAATATGTCTTATCTTGTAATTCACGGGAAACACACAATTTAGTGATAAAATAGTTTGGTATCCGGTTGTTAGGTTTATAAAATAATAATTAATAATGACATGACATATTAATATGATTGACATTTTAATCCTAAAATGTGATAAATATTAAATAATATGATTTTATAATTAATATTATAAATTATACTGACTATTTAAGATATTAATATTATTATTTATTTTCGGGTCGGGTCGGACAGCTTCTACAGCCCGAGCCCGAACCCGAGAATTATTTTTTGATGTCCGAGCCCGACCCGAGCCCGAAACTCGGGTCGGGTCGGGCTACGGACAGCCCATGCACTGCAGTTCTCTATACGGGACATCCGGATATTACTTGAGTAAGAGGATATACTTCAAACGGATATCCTATTTTGGTGGAAACGGCAAGAAAGAGATTTGCCAAAGCTATCAAGATTAGCAAGAAAAATATTGGCAATTCCTGCAACTAGTGCTTCTTCTGAACGAGGATTTATCATTGCTGGAAGGATTTTAGAACAAAGAAGAACGTGTTTGAATTCAGAAAATGTCGATTCATCATTATTTTTTCATTATAATTACATATAATATCAATTTTAAATTTATATTTTTTTCATAAATATTTTATTTGATCAAATAAATTGTCATAATTTAAATTGAATATTTATAAATTAATTTCCTAAATTATAAACTTTTTATAGAGGTATAATGCTGAAATATTTTTATTAGATGTTTAAAAATTAAAAGAATGACCATAATTAAATTTTATAAGCGGGCTTGGGTTAAAATTTTTTATAAATAATGGGCGGGCGGGTAAAAAATTTTAGATTAATGGGCGGGCGGTTAAGGAATTTTAGACAAATGGGCGGGGCGGGCAGGTATATATTTTTTGAAAACTATGGGCTGGCTTAGCGGGCGGGTTAAATTTTTTTTAAAACACTGCCCGCCCAATGCAGACCTTTAATTGGCATTGTTTACAAAATGTCTTATATTTGTTTTACTTTTATTCATATTTTTTACAAAATTTATGTATATATGCATAATAAATGGAAAAATAATTCTAATTCAAGGTTAGTAGATTTTAATTAAAAAAAAGACTGGGAAAAGCCAGTAAAATGGGAAGTATGGGGGGGGGGCAAAGCTCCCTAATTTTTTTTAGTTGAGCCCCCTGAGATTGTAAATGTTAGTGACGTCACTGGCTATGTATGGTATCAATTTAATAGTAATCTGATCAATATTGTAGATCATTCATTTTACGTGATAAAGCGCATTCGCCCTCTCAACGTTGTGGGAACAACAGAGCTACGCTAGGTTTTTCTCATTTCCGTCTAACTGGATTATTAAAGTTATCGGGGAAGAAAATAGGAGAAGCCCTTTACACGTTTGTGGGCAAGCCGCACGTACATCTACGCACAATAGTCCGAGAACTATCATTTAAACGTCTGTAGGCTGATTAAGAGGGAAAGGCCTAAAAAGACAGCCCACACCCATACCTGTAATCCTATTTGTATCTAATCATTATTGGAAAGGGGGAGGCTCGTTTAAGTTAATATTTAGCGAGTCATTTTTAATAAAATTTAATTATTAAATAAGAGAAAAGAAACCTGTACTATAAAGGTATTTAAGTAGATAAAGGGGGAGAAAGGTTTGGTAACGGATAAGGAATTTCATCTTAGGTACCTAGATTTAATCTGGCTCGTTTAAGTTAATATTTAGCGAGTCATTTTTAATAAAATGTAATTATTAAATAAGAGAAAAGAAACCTGTACTATAAAGGTATTCAAGTAGATAAAGGGGGAGAAAGGTTTGGTAACGGATGAGGAATTTCATCTTAGGTACCTAGATTTAATCTGGCTCGTTTAAGTTAATATTTAGCGAGTCGTTTTTAATAAAATGTAATTATTAAATAAGAGAAAAGAACCTGTACTATAAAGGTTTCAAGTAGATAAAGGGGGAGAAAGGTTTGGTAACGGATAAGGAATTTCATCTTAGGTACCTAGATTTAATCATAAGAAGCTTTTTGAGAGAATTTTTATTGTTATTCAATCTAACGAACTGTTTCCAGTTTATATTCAGATCAGCAACATCTTTCAAAACGCGGTGAAACCATAACGTCTTGTATCTGCTGTATTATTTACCTCTACAGGTAAAGAGCCAAGTTAAAGCGTCATGAACCAGATTACTGTTAGGATGTCTTAAAATGTGGGCTAAAAATTGAATTCGTTTTTTCTTGAGTATGATGTGGAACGGAGTGTGTTTCGATTGTCTCCATAATCTTTCGTTTGTTATGTGGGGTAGAAGACGCCGTTAATTATCCTTAAGCACTTGTTAATTAACGTCTGGCATTTTCTGTTGTCTGCTTTAGTGATTTCCCATGTTTCACAACCATATAATAGAACAGGAATCACCGTTGAATTAAAGATGCGTTATCTAGTGAAGGTAGGAATCTCTCTCGTCTTCCAAAGCTTGAAATACTTATAGAAAGCTGGCCTGGCTTTTTGTAATCTTAACCTGATTTCTCTTTACATCCCCCTCTATTATCTAAGGTAATTCTATAAGATATTTTATTTGAGTAACCACCTTTGTTGTATATGCAAATACATTTTGAGAAATTAGAATGTTAATTTTTGAAAGATTATTCATAAATAAACTGAAAACGAATACAATAATTTTTTTGGGGAATTATTTTTTGTAAATGAACTTAAAATTAACCTAATATTATTTTATATATTTTCATATATTCAAAT